GCCGGCTCTTCAGCTTAGAAATGGAGATGAGCACCACACCCCAGTCAGACTCGACTTGACTTAATGTCAAGGGGAAAGCTTTACCTTTACTTTATGCACATACATATAGGTTGACATTTTGGCACTTTAGTTGTGATTTGAAGGCAGTTGGTTTTAACTGTGTTTTTATTTTATTTTATGTGTCGATAGTGGTTGTTTTCATAACTTTTATGTGCTATTGTGTGCATTCTCCTGTACCGTTTATGTTGTATACTACACTTATAGTGCCTTGTAAGCCAAGTCCCTTTTGGGAGATGGTGGTGGGAACTAAATAAAGATGATGATGATGATGATGATGATGATGATGATGACTATTATTATTACATGTATATGGGTATAAACAAACTTCAATTTCTGAAAAGAGTCCTGTTAGTGCCTCTCTCTGATGTCCACGATTTATGCCCAAGAAAACAGTAAATATATCTCAAATATGAATTAAGGAAGATGAGTGTAAAGATGAGAGGCCAAATGTGACCGAGGGAGGTGCCATGCTTGCAAAATATGCCCTTGACACCCCCTTTTTTAGAGCAGCATTTCTCAACCTGGGGGTCAGGACTCTTGAAGGGGTCGCGAGAGGTTTCCAAAGACTATCAGAAAACACAGTATTTTCTGTTGGTCATAGGGGTTCTGTGTGGGAAGTTCTATTGTTGGTGGGGTTCGGAATGCTGTTTGATTGTAGGTGAACTATAAATCTCAGCAACTACAACTCCCAAATGACAAGGTCTATTTTCCTCAAACTCCACCAGTATTCACATTTGGCATATTGAGTATCTGTGCCAAGTTTGGTCCAGATCATTATTGTATTGAGTCCACAATGCTCTCTCGATGTAGGTGAACTACAACTCCCAAAATTAAGGTCAATGCCCAGCAAACCCTTTCAGTATTTTCTGATAGTCGTTGGAGTTCTGTATGCCAAGCTTCATTCAATTCCATCATTGATGGAATTCAGAATGCTGTTTGATTGTAGGTGAATTATAAATCTCAGTAACTACAACTCCCAAATGACAAGGTCTATTTTCCTCAAACTCCACCAGTGTTCACATTTGGCATATTGAGTATTTGTGCCAAGTTTGGTCCCGATCCATCATTGTTTGAGTCCGCAATGCTCTCTCGATGTAGGTGAACTACAACTCCCAAAAGTAAGGTCAATGCCCACCAAACCCTTCCCTTTTCTGTTGGTCGTTGGAGTTCTGTGTGCCAAGTTTGGTTCAATTCCATCATTGATGGAGTTCAGAATGCTGTTCGATTGTAGGTGAACTATAAATCCCAGCAACTACAAGTCCCAAATGACAAAATCAATCCTCCCCCAACCCCACCAGTATTCAAATTTGGGCGTATCGGGTATTTGTGCCAAATTTGATCCAGTGAATGAAAATACACCCTGCATTTACATGATGATTAATAACTGTAGCAAAATGACAACGAAATGTAGCAACAAAAATAATTTTATGTTTAGGGGTCACCACAACATGAGGAACTGTATTAAGGCTGTATTGTCGAAGACTTTCATGGCCGGAATCACTGGGTTGTTGTAGGTTTTTTTCGGGGTATATGGCCATGTTCTAGAGGCATTCTCTCCTGACATTTCGCCTGTATCTATGGCAAGCATCCTCAGATTTTCCTAGTTCCAACAGACCTCACAACCTCTGAGGATGCTTGCCATAGATCCAGCAAAACGTCAGGAGAGAATGCCTCTAGACCATGGCCATATAACCCGAAAAAACCTACAACAACCCTGTATTAAGGCTTCGCGGCATTAGGAAGGTTGAGAAATACTGTCTTGGAGATAATTGTGAAGGTGCGGAAAAAGAGAAAAGGTAAGGGAGGCGAAAAACACACACACAAGAGAGAGAAAAAGAGAGGCGCGCGCACTCACTACTGTGATTTAAGCAAATAGACCTATTAAGCTCTAATATATATTTCTGTTGCTAGGGAGCGTCTCCTCGCATGGCTACAGAGCACAAATTGTAGCACTTATGAATCACAAGATGTATTTTTCCCTCCATAATACGTGAAAGAGAATTTTTCTGACAAACAACCGCCATTCTCTCTCTTCTCCCCTTCACACCCCCCAAAGACCCCAACCCTTCCCAACCTGCTGGGTTTGTTCTCCCCCCAAAAAACTGATGTAATCCCAGTTTAAATTATTGCCATCTAGCCCTTGCCTTCTCCTCCTCCTCTTGCTGGTTTTTCCTTCAAAAAATGTGTAAGGCGCACTTGGGTTTCAGAAGTTATTGGGGTTTTTTTTTTCAAGCCACAATTGTTAACAGATGGGGAGTCAGCTCCGGACGTCTATCGCAAAAGCTGAGAGAGGCAGACTTCTAGAAAGAGAGAGGGGAGTTGTGCCTTTTTCTTATCCCATCTTGAAAACACCTCTCCAAGCATCTCCAGGGGGGAAAGGGGGCAGGCAATGGGGAGTCCACTGAAAGGCAAAAAGAGAAGCCAGCAAGAGCAACAGTGAAAAGAATTGCTCAGGGGTTGTGCTATTCAAACTCTGATTTGGGGAAATCATTGTGTCCGCGAGCGCACACTTTTCCAAGCCAAGGAGAGCCAAGAAGTTTCTCTCTCCAGCTTTCATTCATTTTGAGGCAAGAAAACTTCCAAGGGGGTGGTGGTGCCCAAAAGTGTGGAAAGAAGAAAGGAGGAGAGGAACGGTGCTGCTTCGAAGTACACAAAGGCACCCACAAACCCCAGAGAGCTGCAGAATGCAATCCAGACAGACCCACCCTGGTCGCAAAAGTGGGAGTGAAAACCATCCGCGCAGACACACCTTTCTGAGCTTTTTTCACAAGCCACCCAAAACCAAAAAATATGTATGTTTTGTAGGTACAGATTTCTTCCTACCGACTGAAAGGCCTGCTTCATTCTCAAGACTCACTGGCCATGATTTTTTTTTTAAAAAAAATGTGAACATCAAAGGCATAAACACAGACCAGACATTGCACGTTCAGTGAGGATTTTCACTGGAAGCAACTTTTATCTCTGATCAGGGTGTGAGGCAACAACCTCTTGCTTTCACACAGACTTGACAACTAACTTCAGGAGAGTATGGAAGTCACACCACACACACACACACACTTTTCAAATCTACACAACCTTTCCCTTCCCTGGATTCCAGTCCAACATTTCCATCAGTCACCAAAAGACCAAAGCACAACAAGGAAGGAAGCTTTGCTTTGCTACCCCAAACTATTTCATGCTGGATCTATAGGAGTTCATGGGAGTACTCCATTTTTGCCTCCCCCTCTTTGCAAAATATTTCAGAGAGAGAGAGAAGGAGGAAATAGAGACTCCAAAATCTGAATTCAAGTCCAACATTTCCATCAAATGTTCTTCAAAGCACAAGGAAGGGAGGCTTTGCTTTGCTACCCCAAACTATTTCATGCTGGATCTATAGGAGTTCATGGGAGTACTCCATTTTTGCCTCCCCCTCTTTGCAAAATATTTCCAAGAGAGAGAGAGAGAGAGAGAGAGAGAGAGAGAGAAGGAGGAAATAGAGACTCCAGAAATCTGAATTAAAGGCCAACATTTCCATCAGTCACCAAAATACCTTCCTTCCTTTCTTCAAAGCACAACAAGGAAGGGAGGCTTTGCTTTGCTACCCAAAACTATTTCATGCTGGATCCATAAGAGTTCATGGGAGAAGTCCACTTTTGCCTCCCCTCTTTGCAAAATATTTGCAAGAGAGAGAGAAGGAGGAAATAGAGACTCCAGAAATCTGAATTCAAGTCCAACATTTCCATCAGTCACCAAAATACCCTCCTTCCTTTCTTCAAAGCACAAGGAAGGGAGGCTTGGCTTTGCTACCCAAAACTATTTCATGCTGGATCTATAGGAGTTCATGGGAGAAGTCCACTTTTGCCTCCCTCTCTTTGCAAAATAATTCAGAGAGAGAGGAGGAAATGGAGACTCCAGAACTCTGAATTCAAGGCCAAAATTTCCATCAGTCACCAAAAGACCCTCCTTCCTTTCTTCAAAGCACAAGGAAGGGAGGCTTGGCTTTGCTACCCAAAACTATTTCATGCTAGATCCAAAGAGTACTCCATTTTTGCTGCCCCCCATTTCCAAAATATTTGAAACAGAGAGAGAGAAGGAGGAAATGGAGACTCCAGAAATCTGGATCCAAGTCCAACATTTCCATTAGTCACCAAAAGACCCTCCTTCCTCTCTTTAAAGCACAAGGAAGGGAGGCTTTGCTTTGCTACCCAAAACTATTTCATGCTGGATCCATAAGAGTTCATAGAAGTACTCCATTTTTACCTCGCCCCTTTGCAAAATATTTGAAAGCGAGAAAGAGAGAGAGAACGAAGAGGAAATGGAGACTCCAGAAATCTGGATCCAAGTCCAACATTTCCATCAGTCATCTAAAGAACCAAAACACAAGGAAGGGAGGCTTTGCTTTGCTACCCAAAACTATTTCATGCTGGATCCATAAGAGTTCATGGGAGAACTCCATTTTTGCAAATATCTTTGCAAAATATTTGAGAAAGAGAGAGAGAGAAGGAAATGGAGACTCTAAAAAACCTGCAAATGAAATAAAAGGGGAAGAAAAATAAAGAACTTGATTCAGAACATTTTTCGCAATTGGCATCTTGGATGGTGGCTTGCTTCCTCCAAACTGACCTCTGGCAACATTTCCTCGAAAATAATATTGGCATTTCAAACTAGGACTTCTTCCAAGCTCTGCCTTGCAGTTTACTTCCAGGATTTGCAATGAGAGGAAACCAAAGGAGATTTTTGCTACATAGATATCCATACAGATACATTATTTCTTTCTCCAGAACTGCCCTGCTATTATTGTTTTTCATTTTGGGAAACCAAACCCAAACCCAGCTTGGGAAAGTAAGTTCCCAGCCTGTGCGCTCTTGTCCTTCCATCCAAGACTTTGGACCCAGTGTCTGAGCAAAGGAAAACACCCCCCCTTTCCCACCTTATCCCCCATCAAACCAGACAAGACTTACTTTTTGTTGGAAGTGTTCCAGTAGATGGGCTCCAAGCTGAGTCCTTCGATAAACCAGAGTTCCAGCAAAGCGAAGAGCAGACCTGTATAGAATCCAAGCAGGGAGATCCCAAAGGCCACCATCACTGCAGGAGAGAAATAACTCCTTTAAAGGTGGTGGAGAGGCTTGGCTTGGGAGAAGGGGGGAGAGAGAGAGAGAGAGCCAAGCAACTCCCCTCCAGTCTTTCTCTTCTTCTTCTTCTTCTTCTTCCTCTCCCTCACTCTTCCTTTCTTTTCCTTCCTTCCTCCTTCCTTTCTTCTTTTGTTTTCCTCCTTTTGACAATCACACACACTCACCCAAATTCCAAGAGGCGGATGGAGTCGTGCAAAAGGCAAAGCAAAGAGAAAGAGAGATTCAAAAAGACTTGAGGAAGGGTTGGGTGTAGAGAGAGAGAGAGATTGAAAGAAAGAGAGAAGGAAGGGAAAGGGGAGCAACCTCCTTGGGTCAGTAAAGTTTTATAAATCCTCGGCTCTTTTTTGGCACCAGCTTTGCTGCTGAGTCGGATCCGGAAAGTTTGAGGCGCTTGGAGAGACCCAAAGATGGAGACAATCTTTGGAGAGAGAACTGCATCTTTTGGTGGGTTTTGTTTAGGGTTGGGGTGGTTCGGGCTTCAAAGGAAGGGAGGAAAAGGAGGAAAGGAAGGAGAGAAACGGAGAGAGGAGGCAACCAAACCCCACCAGGACGGCCACCAAGAAGAATAAACCGAAGGATGCCCAGGAAAAGGAGGAAAAATCGCCTCCACTTCTCTGCTCGGCTGTGTGCGCCCTTGTGTGCGCCCAGAGATCTTTAGGGGGGTGTTGAAAGGAGGTGGAGAAAAGTCTGCGAGAGACAAGAGGAAGGGGGGGAAGAAGAGGAGGAAGAAGGCATTTCCAAGCCCTCCTCCTTCTCCCCCTCTTTCTTCTCCCCCTTTTTTCCTTCTCAGTCTGAGAGCTGTATATATTTGCGCCTTGCTTCTTCTTTTCTCCCTCCTTCCTTCCTTCCTTCCTCCTCTTCTTCTTCTTTGCGCAATGAAGAACTCCAACGACGAAGGAGAGAGAAAGAAAAGGAGAAAGAGAGAGAGAGAGACGGAAAAAAAATCCCCCTCTCTTTCTTTCTTTTTAAGAGAAAGGGAGGAGAAAAGAATTGGTGAGCGCGAAATACTGGAATGAAGAGAGACTCCGGAAAAAAAGGGTTTGCAGGGAGCTGGAGTCAAAAAAAAAAAAAAGGAGATGAAAGAAGATACGGACTCAGGACTCCAAAGGAGAGAAAACACAAGCAGAGAGAGAGAGAGAGAGAAGGGAGGAAGGAAAGGAAGGCAAGAGAGGAAGGGAAAACACACCCACAGTTGCCCAACCTCCAGTGAAAGAGGGAGAGAAGAAGGGGAGAGAAAGGAGGAGGGGAATGGAGAGGGAGAGAGACACACACACACTCAGAGAGACACACACACACAGGGAGAGACAGAGATGCCAACTGAATGCCAGCAGAATATATTTATGTCTTTTGCTCCCAGTTTTGACACCTCTATGAAGAAGGCAAAGATGCAAACAAATCAGAGAATGTCTTGGTTTGATGTTGATTCCCTATTTATATAAAAAAAATCCTTCATTAAAGGACACACTGATTGCAATTTCTTTCTCTCAGGTAAATGCAAAAAAAAATAGAGGCTGATGAATGGAGAGGTTGGTTTTCTTGGAGTCAGCAATAATTATATTTAGAAGGAATTGTTGGGCCTGGAAGGAGGGAAGGGGAAAGAAGGCAGAGAGAGGGATGTTGGGCAAATATAGCCAAAGGTTTGGGGAGGTTTTGGGGAGGAAAAGGATAGGAAAAGGTGGACTTTAGACTTCAAAACAGGCATGAGCAAACTTTGGCCCTCCAGGTGTTTTGGACTTCCACAATTCCTAACAGCTGGTAGGCTGTTAGGAATTGTGGGAGTTGTAGTCCAAAACACCTTCTTGATGGGAAAAGAAGGTAGAGAGAGGGATATTGGACAAATATGTCCAAAGGTTTGGGAAGATAAGAAGGTAGGCTGTTAGGAATTGTGGGAGTTGAAGTCCCAAACACCTTCTTGATGGGAAAATAAGACAGAAAGAGGGATATTGCCCAAATATATCCAAAGTTTTGGGAAGTTAAGAAGGTGGAGGAGATTTTGGAGGGGAAAATGTAGACTTTAGACTTCAGAACAGGTATGAGCAAACGTCAACGCTTTAGGTGTTTGGACTTCAACTCCCACAATTCCTAACAGCTGGTAGGCTGTTAGGAATTGTGGGAGTTGAAGTCCAAAACACCTTCTTGATGGGAAAATAAGGCAGAGAGAGATATATTGGACAAATATATCCAAAGGTTTGGGAAGATAAGAAGGTGGAGGAGATTTTGGAGGGGAAAATGTAGACTTTAGACTTCAGAACAGGTATGAGTAAACGTCGACCCTCTAGGTGTTTTGGACTTCAACCCCCACAATTCCTAACACCCGATAGGCTGTTAGGAATTGTGGGAGTTGAAGTCCAAAACACCTTCTTGATGGGAAAAGAATGCAGAAAGAGGAATATTGGCCAAATATGTCCAAAAGTTTGAGAAGATGAGGAGAGAAAAGGATAGGAAAAGGTGTTTAGACTTCAGAACAGGTATGAGCAAACTTGGGCCCTCCAGGTGTTTTGAACTTCAACTCCCACAATTCCTAACAGCAAGAACCAGCAAAGCAGATATTAGAAACCATAATAATGCTACATTGAAATTAATGGACATACTATACTATTGAACAGGCATGGGTAAACTTGAGCCCTCCAGGTGTTTTGGACTTCAACTCCCACAATTCCTGGCCTCAGGACCCTTCCTTTTCCCCCTCAGCCGCTTACCTGAGGGGGGAAAGGAAAGGGCCTGAGGCCAGGAATTTTGGGAGTTGAAGTCCAAAACACCTGGAGGGACCAAGTTTGCCCATTCATGCTTTAGAACATCTTCACAGTGCCAAATCCGTCATCACAAACCCAACAGAAAGGTGCCACAAACTGTGTGTTGTGTATTCCCAAAAATTGTGTTTGCCTTTCCTGAGAGTTAAAACCTTTAGGTAAAGATTTCCAAAGATCCCCCACAAATTTCCCGAAATGGTAGGAGTTTCTTTTGGCTTGAATTATCTCCAAAATCCAGCATTTGAAAGAGCCAGACCTGTTGAATTTCAGCCTTTCCAAGTCCTCCTAGAGACACGGAGAGGAGACAGTCTGGACTATTAGCATTAGATCCTAACTTAGTCATGCTTTGAATGCGACTCGGCGAAATTAGCGAAGCCAACATTCGTCACGATTACTTTAGATCCACTTTAATTTGGGTAGGTGAGAGCATCAAGGATGACTAAAATCCGGAGCTATTAATAAGTAATGCCTAGCAGGTATTGTCGAAGGCCTTCATGGCCGGAATCACTGGGTTGCTGTGAGTTTTCTGGGCTGTATGACCATGTTCCAGAAGCATTCTCTCCTGACATTTCGCCTGCATCCATGGCAGGTATCCTCAGAGGTTGCGAGGTCTACAAGATTGGGAATTGCCAACGCCATCAAAATAGCTCCTTCCAATTGTGTTGTTGTTGTATTGTCGAAGGCTTTCATGACCGGATTCATTGGGTTGTTGTAAGTTTTTCGGGTTGTATGGCCATGTTCCAGAAGCAGTCTCTCCTGACGTTTCACCTGCAACTATGGCAGACATCTTCACAACCTCTGAGGATACCTGTCATAGATGCAGGCAAAACGTCAGGAGAGAATGCTTCTGGAATATTGCCATACAGCCGGAAAACTCACAACATCCCAGCCTAGCAGGTTGTTTACTGGAAATGACTATGGATTATTAATTCAACAACAAAAACATGGGTTGTAAGTTTTTTGAGCTGTATAGCCATGTTCCAGAAGCATTCTCTCCTGATGTTTCACCTGTACCTATGAGAAACATCCTCAGAGGTTGTGAGGATACCTGTCATAGATGCAGGCTCAATGTCAGGAGAGAATGCTTCTGGGATATAGCCATACAGCCCGGAAAACTCACAACATCCCAGCTCAGCAGATTGTTTACTGGAAATGACTATGGATTATTAATTGAACAACAACAACAACAATATGGGTTTTTGTAAGTTTTTCGGGCTGTATGGCCATGTTCTAGAAGCATTCTCTCCTGACGTTTCATCTGCACCTATGAGAGGCATCCTCAGAGGTTGTGAGGATGCCTGCCATAGATGCAGGCAAAATGTCAGGAGAGAATGCTTCTGGAACATGGCCAGACAGCCTGAAAAACTTACAACCACCCAATGAATCCAGCCATGAAAGCCTTCGACAATACAACAACAACACGGTTGGAAGGAGCTATTTTGATGTCATTGGCAATTCACAATCTTGTAGACCTCACAACCTCTGAGGATACCTGCCATGGATGCAGGTGAAACGTCAGGAGAGAATGCTTCTGGAACATGGCCAGAGAGCCTGAAAAACTTACAACAACCCAATGAATCCAGCCATGAAAGCCTTTGACAATACAACAACAACACAACCGTGTTGTTGTTGTATTGTCGAAGGCTTTCATGGCTGGATTCATTGGGTTGTTGTAAGTTTTTCAGGCTATTTTGATGGTGGTGGCAAACCACAATCTTGGAGACTCACAGAATACTTTGGATGCATCTACAGCAAGCCTGGGCAAACTTTGGCCCTCCTGGTGTTTTGGACTACAACATCCACAATTCCTAACTGACTGCAGTTTGGCACCACTTGAACAGCCACAACTAAAGACTATGGAGTAATAAAACCTGTACATTACCATACTACAAATCCCGAGATTTCATAGCATTGAGCCATGGCAGTTCAAGTGTCAAACTGAATTAAATCTCCAGTGCAGATGCCTCTTTTGTCAGACAATGCACAGATCACAGCTGTTGGAGACCAAGCAACAAACCATTTTCTAGGCTGCCCAAGTTACTTTGGCACCCGAGGCAGAACCATCTCCAAATGTATGTTCCGTAGTAGTACAAAAGAGTGCCCAAAATAGCCTTTTGTGTGTTGCTGTGGGTTGGTCCCTATCATAAGGACACAGGCTTCGGCACCAGCCAGATTCCATTCAGTGAAAAGACAGCCATCGCAAGCCTTTGGGTTCCACAGAGAACCTCACTGTGACGATTAAAACGTGGTATGCACTTGCACGATGCAATCTGGGCCTCATGGGCCAAAGAATGATTTCTGCTTAGTCTTTCCAATGGAGGCAAATAGTTGCCCAAAATCATAGAATCATAGAATCAAAGAGTTGGAAGGGACCTCATGGGCCATCCAGTCCAACCCCCTGCCAAGAAGCAGGAATATTGCATTCAAATCACCCCTGACAGATGGCCATCCAGCCTCTGTTTAAAAGCTTCCCAAAGAAGGAGCCTCCACCACACTCCAGGGCAGAGAGTTCCACTGCTGAACGGCTCTCACAGTCAGGAAGTTCTTCCTCATGTTCAGATGGAATCTCCTCTCTTGTAGTTTGAAGCCATTGTTCCTTGTCCTAGTCTCCAGGGAAGCAGAAAACAAACTTGCTCCCTCCTCCCTGTGGCTTCCTCTCACATATTTATACATGGCTATCATATCTCCTCTCAGCCTTCTCTTCTTCAGGCTAAACATGCCCAGCTCCTTAAGCCGCTCCTCATAGGGCTTGTTGTCCAGACCCTTGATCATTTTAGTCGCCCTCCTCTGGACACATTCCAGCTTGTCAATATCTCTCTTGAATTGTGGTGCCCAGAATTGGACACAATATTCCAGGTGTGGTCTAACCAAAGCGGAATAGAGTATGGGGAGCATGACTTCCCTAGATCTAGACACTATGCTCCTATTGATGAGGCCAAAATCCCATTGGCTTCTTTTGCCGCCACATCACATTCCTGGCTCATGTTTAACTTGCTGTCCACGAGGACTCCGAGATCTTTTTCACACGTACTGCTCTCGAGCCAGGCATTGTCCCCCATTCTGTCTCTTAGCAATCAAGGCCCAAAGGGCCATCCAATGCTATTCAAGGTGGCCAATGGCAACATTGACACTTGCCACCAATGGACAAGAGTTCGTATATCATTCTACAGAGATATAAACCCCATTTTCCTAGTTTCCAACAGACCTCACAACTTCTGAGGATGCCTGCCATAGATGTGGGTGAAACGTCAGGGGAGAATGCTTCTGGAACATGGCCAGACAGCCCGGAAAACTCACAGCAACCCAAAGCCACACTGTTGGCACCACAGTCAGTATTCATACTAGCTAAGGGTGCATCTACACTGTGGATTTAATACACTTTGACACCACTTTAGCTACCATTGCTCAATGCAACTGAATAATAGGAGTTGTAGCTTGGCGAGAACCCCGACACTCTTGGGCAGAGAAAGCTAACTTTGTAGAAC